GACGTGGTGCGAACAACACAGGCAGGATACCTTCCGGAGTGCTCTGGCGCAGTTTGCCCGTGCGTTCCTTCAACCACAGAACGCTCTGTCGATGGACTTGCGCGTCGTTGGATTTGTCCATAAATGCAATCGCGTCTGCGACGGTCGTGCAATATTTTAGTTCCCACGCGGCCGTGGCCGCTACAATTCGAGCGAAGTCAAGAATTGTAATCGAGGCAATGCTACCTGGCAGAGTTGTGAGCTGCATGACGGTACACCACCCGCTCTTGTCCATGTAGTGTGCACTGCGGCATCGAAATGCGTATTTTGTCGCTGGTTTGAGATGCTCGACCTAGAAACCCATGTCATGGATATAAAATGGCTCACCCAGGTCACATCAGGGGCCTAACGAACGGTAAAGGTCGTCTTGGGACCAGTGTAAATAGGGTCGAAGTGATCATAGTAACCCTTGGTGCCACGGAGGGTCCTAGGGGGAACGGATGAAGCAAAACGAAGGGGCGACATCGACGAAACGAACCGGTTGCACATTTCAAGGATAAATTCAAGCTGGAGGCCCTTCCACGGCTTATAAAGTGGTGGCACTTGCCAATACACGTTCACGGTGTCATGGGTAAGGCACGCGGATTGTAGGAGGGGCACGGGGGGCTCTACAGTGTTGCGAAACAGTGCGGACACAGCCCCGCAAAAAAATCGATGTACTGATTTGGGCATTCGAAAACTCGATGATGGGTCTGCGGACGTTCACAGTGACATGGTGTTGTTGCGTGGAAGGGCGTACTTGAGGTAGGTGAAGTCAAGCGCGGGTTCGCGCAATGACGTGTTGTGGTGAATGCCGATTAATCGCCCGCCAAAGTTGAACACGGGACTGCCGGACGCCCCCGATTCCATCGGAATTCGATACTGCATTCGTTTCGGCTTGACCTAGTACCGCTATAAGCCGCGGATCAGACAGAGTCTTTGTGGTTACCATGTTTGGAATGAACTTGTCAATGTGTCCGCGATTTACAACTGCCATCTTCCCATGCGGGTGACCAACCATTTCAACTTCGTCGTGTCGAAGCTACGACCAAAGCAACTCACTACAGGGCCTCAAGGACGCATGCGACTCAAACCACGTCGGAAGCGCACGCCATCCGTCGGTTGTTGAACGCAATCCTAATCGGTTCGACCTACACAGGCTGAACTGGGTATGCTCAGTGCATCGTGAGGACGTTACCGAGTCGCCCGCGGCGGTTTTGAATTCGTCGGCGTCGATCGCGCACAGCGAAAAATCTAGCGCCGAGTCGGCGTCCAACTGGTACGATGTGTGCGTCGATGTCATGAAGAAGAGGTCGCTCCTCAGACGAATCATAAACGGGATCGAGCCTGCGACACAGCAATGATGCGTCTCTCCAAGCAGAGTTCGAACGACATGCAGATCGACGAGCGTACCTTGGCGATGATTAAACTGAACACGTGAAAACCGCGCGGTCTCTTCGTCCGGCAATGAAAAGTTGTCGGTTAAGATGCACAGCACTCGATTGAACAGCACCAAGACGCCGTTCCCGATCAAGTTGGCTTTTGTGGACAACCGACATGCGGCATGTCGGTACTTGAATCTGTCCGATTTTGCTCAAATTCGTATGGGTCCTCGCGCCGCAGGGCATACCGCTCCAGCTCAATGTCGTCGTCGCCAAGAAACACCGGTTTCGTGTAAAACACTTGTCTGGTTTGAGTGTTCAGGTAGTAATACTCCTTGGACTTGGGATCTGCCAACGTCGCAAGAACACACGTCGACGATCCCACCATGCCTGTCAAGTACGCATACCCATGTGCTTTTGATACATGTCCCGAATCATGTCTCGAAGCAAGAGCCTCGCCCGCCACGTTCGAACACAGTGCTGGACTCGAACCTGTTGCGTCCACCGTCACACAAGACGGATAGTGCAGTTGTTGATCGTACGGCAGCGTCATCGGGAGAAAGTGCCTCGATTTGCTCGCTCCCTTCGCATTGCATCAAAAGCAACAAGAGCGGCTTGGTTTCTGTCGCGATGCCCGTTCGGTTGTCGATGTACCGGACTTGTTTTGTCTTTTTGTCTAAGGATTCTTGAGTGGACGACTTGTTGATGTCGCCTACCATAGATCTTGGTATACACTTCAGCAAGTACGCGCCGAAAGTAGTTGCGGGCCAGGCGCGCTCGAACCATGCGCTGGATCATACGGGCCGCCATTCTCTCTTCTTCCATCACCATCTCTGGTGTGAGCACCGACCGTTTGAATGTCTTGCCATTTTGCGCAAGAAGAGCGCTCAACCTGCGCAGTTGAATGTCATCCACGAGAGCGAACTAGGCCTTCGGATATGAATACCTCTTCCCACCGCGAGCAATCTGCCGACGTGACCCCACCCGGATGCGGGCTCGTTCCATCGAGTCTTGCCAATGCGAATAGTACGGAAAATATCCGGAATGCGACCTTCCAGCTCATGCCATGTGCACTGTCACAGTTGACTCGACATTCCTGATCCCTAGAACCTCTGTGCTCTGGAATCGACGTTGAACGATCCCCTTCCTCCTCTAAAAGCCACCGTTGGTCCGGACTAGCCCAGCTATTTCATAGCGGCCATCCGCTGGTTTGACAGAGCATGGCGCTTGTTTGACAGTACACAGATCTCCCAGTCACATGTCGAGATGAGCTTGAAATGACAGGACCCGAGAGACTCGGTGACCATGTCGAATGACTTTGTGGTGGTGCAAATATTGCTTCACAGCCGTCATTGCGGTACTTGCCGGCTTCCTCGAACTTGTCCAGCACAACACCATGCAAGTATCAATCGTCCTTGTCACCATCGTCGCCGCCGTTTCGACGCCAGTCGTGGTGGCTGTGGGCTGTACGCAAGGCCAAAAGGTTCAAATGCTGGATGCAATCACGAAGCACCCGAGTTGGCCGGCGTGCCAACAGGCAACATTGCCGTTTGACTTCTACCTGGCGCTGACACAGGAAGGACCGAGTCCAACCACGAACGACCTGACGAAATTCAAAGCCAACACTGCGTGCAACGCTGTATATGCGTCGTTTCAAGATTCTATGAAGCAAGCGAATTGCGACGAAGTCGCCGATTTGGTCGGTATCCCCGTCGATCAGCTCGTACCTCCGACGGCAGCCACCACATCCGCTGCAGCCCCACTGACGACGCAAGCGAACTCGTTGGTACCGCCTGCGGGAGCTGCAACTGTAAAACCCACACTTCCTGCGAGTCCAACGACTACAGGCAAATCTGCGGAAGCCATGGCTGGAAGAGTGCAGCCGTCATTGGCCGCGGCATCGGCGACGATGGCCATTTCAGCAATGACACTAGCGGTCGTGGCCCTGCTCTAAACCGTGCCTCCAGCTCGCAAAGGGCATTCCGCCTATGTGGGGCGGCCTTCATATACCTGAATATTCTCTGCCTACAAGACATTGACATCGTAACATCATTTTCTACGTGAATGTTGAGTCCTTGTGATACATCTACGCGCCGGACGATAGCGACGGCGCTGGCAAACTTACTGTTAATTGGAGCAACACCGTGGGCAAAGGAAGGTAGCAAGCAACCTAACCATCACATTTCCAAGATCACTCTTTGGCTTTCACCAGATTTTGGGGTGCCCAACATTCTGGTGAGAAATAATTTGTATGACCATCGATTGGTTAAAATCCAACCAACCAACCTGTACTTGCAATCTGCGACCGAGATGGACGCGGTCAAGTGGTGCAGCGCATTCCTTCTCGGCGTGGCGGGCCATTGGTACTTGTCGAACAGCGCATCCTATGACGCAGCGAGCACTGCTGGCAATGTCATGACCTCGCCGCTGCATCCAGGTCACAAAGTGGACGATGACGATTCTGATGACAGCGACGACGAACAAGACAGCGACGAATCGGACTGGGAGCCACACAAGATGGTGCTTGTTGTCCGAAATGATTTGAAGATGGGTAAGGGCAAGATTGCTGCGCAGTGCGGCCACGCTACACTCGGTGCGTACAAGCGGGCTGTCAAGCGGACTCCGCAAGCGTTGGATTTGTGGGAAGCGTCCGGTCAGACCAAAGTCGCGTTGAGAGTCGAAACAGAAGAGGAAATGATGGTTTTAGCCGACCGGGCAAAAGAGATTGGCCTTGTGCATTACGTCGTTGTTGACGCTGGACGAACGCAAATCGCACCAGACACCAAGACCGTCTTAGCAGTTGGCCCTGCCCCAGCTAGTGCTGTCGACAACCTCACGGGCCATTTAAAGCTCATGTAAACTTCATTCAACGATCATGCGCGTGTCTTGCATCTCTTTCTGCAAAAGCTCATGTCCAGAACGATTGAAAGGTCACCGCTGGACTGGACGCCTTTCAAAATCTCTGCAATCCAAAGCGGTCGTCAAGCCTGGCAACCAGCACAAGTCCATCCTGTCTCGATGTTGAACCCCCAGTCCACTGCTTTTAACTACTAATACGGAGTATTAATGAAATTTATTGCACTGTGCAATTTATTTGAATTGTTTTTGTGGATTTTACTGACGAAGTGGGCAAATTGACCAATGAACTGCTTCAGCTTCGTCATATTTATTCTCCCTCTGGATTTGGCTCGTTCGACGCTGTTGTAGCGATCACACCTGGTCAAGATGGACTACGTCAAGTGGGGATGTGCGTTTGCGCTGGGCGTGACCAGCCACTGGTACTTATCCTCCAGCAAGGCGAAGCCTCCTCCAAAGGGTGGTGTCACGCAGTGTAAGACGAGCCACGAGAAAGAAGACGCAGAGGAAGACAGCAACGCCAGCGACAGTGACTCCGACGATGACGTACACGACGAGGACACGCTCCACTGGGAGCCACACAAGATGGTCCTCGTGGTTCGGAACGATTTGAAGATGGGAAAAGGTAAAGTGGCCGCGCAATGTGGCCACGCCACCCTCGGCGCGTACAAGCGAGCTGTGAAGCGCACGCCCCATGCCATCGAGTGCTGGGAAACCCTAGGTCAAGCAAAGGTCGCACTCAAGGTCGAGTCAGAGGGTGAAATGATGGAACTGGCAAGCCGCGCGAAAGATCTGGGTCTCGTGCACTACATCGTTGTCGACGCCGGGCGGACTCAAATTGCTTCAAATTCCAGGACAGTCTTGGCAGTTGGTCCTGCTCCCATCGGGGCTATCAACAACCTCACTGGTCATTTGAAGCTCATGTAAAATGGCTACGTATTTTGCACGTAATGTAAACATAATTGACGAAGACCTGACCAGGTCTGGCTTCACCCCACATCAAGGCACTCACTCTGGTTCTGTGGACGGGTTAGATCGATAGGAATGCGTAGAGCTGAACAAGTGAGAAGTCAATCATCATGACGAGCCAGTCAAGCGATTCTCTGGTCCTTTCGACGAGGACATGAATAAATGACAGTCTCAGAAACGAGACAATCAGAGTACGACGAACAGCCTGGACATGGCTCGACTCGAGGCAGTATGCTGAGCGGAATGTATTCGTTCGCTTTAAAGGCAGACGTTGTGATGGGGCGAATCATGACGGTGGATTGGCTTGGGCCAATATGAAATGCCGTCGAGGTCCCGACAGGGACATGGGACGATTATGGCCTACGCCACCTTAAGCTGCTTCTTCTCTTTGCTGTACGCCTTGTTGCACCCAACATACACCTACATTAGCAGCGTTAGCTCTGCACAAAGAGGACGGAACGTTCGAGATTACCAAGTAGTTTAAGACGTGGAGAACCCCCGTGCCTCCAAACGCAACTGCGAATTGAATCTAGTCATGCCGTCAAGGCCACACACCCGTACAGCTCTGAAGTAAAACAGGGATATCGTACCGCGTGCGGAAAGCGGTGCCGATCTAGGGTCACCCCGACATGCACGGCTAACGGCAGCAAGACGCGGGTTGTGTAGAAGGTTAGCCAAAGGGCGTGCCACGACATGGCGTATACTCGATTGCGAAGGGTGAACCCGACCATCGACAGGAGCTTACGCGCGTGCAACCAAACCGAGTTGATCTCGAGAAGAAGCATCACGACGAGGTACGGCACGGCGACCTTGTAATGGAGCGCAAGGACGTAGCACAACGTGACCATGATGTGGTGCACGAGGATGCCGTGGGCGCGAACGTATAGATTCCCCACGACCATGTCGTAAAAGTCGTAGATGAAGTACCCCGTGGACAGCGAAAGACAGATGACGGCCAGTGGCGAGCACGAGTGCACCCAATCGTGTACCGGGTCCATCGCCAGGACAGCAAGACTAAGTGCTGCCGACATGGCTGAGTGCACTAGAGAGACGGTTGTGTTGCACCAGAGGAGCTTGTCGTTGATATCTTGCGGCGACCTCTCACGATACCATGCCACGTACTTGGTTGACAGCGCTGGAACCGTCGCACGAATCGCCCAAAACATCTACGACACGACAGCCGCATTCGCGACGATGAACACACAATTGGGACAGTTCAACGGTGACGAACCGTGGCAAACAAGCCAATCCACCCGAGTCGTGGGTTGATGTAGGCGAGGCCACCGCACAAGGCGACCGACGCAGACCCGAGCCACAAGGGCGTCGACGAGGACGACATATTGATTATGACGCACAATGACACTGCGGAGTTGAGACTCCATCTTGAATAATATGATGGTGAGATATTGACTTTTAGTAATTTCGAACGGTATTCATAATTCAATACTTCTATTCTACAATTCCGATAGGTTGGCGAGAAACTCTACAATTCGCTCAATGCTCAGACAATTTACCCATTGGTGTGTCATTCTGGTCAAGATTCGACGACGTCAACTGTATTCCGGATTCCGGATAATTCCATCTCTGTCGAATTGACATCCGTAATTGTAGTACTTGTGCATTTGACGGGTGTCGGATCAGATCGACAGTTGTGGTCGTCCATGGAGCTATGTAATTGGATATAATTCAGATATACTTATGAAATGCAAATTTCCCTCCCTAAATCCGACCGCCAACACATGCCTCGAACACGCTGCTCGCGGAGACACTTGCCCGTGTCAAAAAATGATGTTGACAAGGGGCACATTCCTAATGGAACACACAAGCTAGTATGCGCTAGCGAAGAAGAACGGTGTGCAACACAACAAGTACTAGCACTTTCCACAAATTTTGCGGGCAGTTCCACGATTCGGTCATCTCTTCTCCGATTGGCTTAGAAATTGTGATCCAGATAGACCACAGGAGAACGAGTAGCGGTGATTTTATTCCTGAATTGGACGCATAAGGGTCGACGAAGGAACCAATACAATACGCAAGTCAAATTTAAGGACGGCCAACGACAATGCTTGTACCTCGAGGTGCTGATAAGGAGAACTGACGGAAATGTTTCTCGTGAGATAATGAGCACTGTGTGCGCTAGATTTTATGTAAACCAAGCCAATGGGCGGCGCATCTTCCAAAGTGACAATTAACGGACAGCTGGAGGCGGACCTCCTGACTTCAAAGCTAGGTTGAAAGCCAACAATGACCCGCCGGCGACAGCACTGTGTTGACAACATCGAGCAACGGGTCAAAGCAGCGCCGCTCCACCTGCGCCAGACGTATCGTACACTGCCATCATCTACAGGGCTCTCGAAGACTTTGCTTCGGCGCTACATTCAGAGCAAATGGGTCACGCGCCGATCGAGTTTGACACGTCCTGCGCTTAAGTCCCAGTACAAGGCACCGCGTGTAGACTATTATCAATCACTGTATGACAACGAGGGTAATAGCGGCTGCTGGCACGAAATTAGCCGGAACTTCTTTTGGCTTTTTTCAACAAATCATAAAGATATTGGAACTTTATATTTAATTTTTGATGCTTTTATCAATGAAATGTATTCTTGTGTTCACGTTGGTGAGAAGAGATTTTATGTGACCAAACTTCGCCGCAAGATTTACGTGTGGCCAGACGAAAAGCTTCTACTGAGGCGTCCAGCCCAAGATCCATGTTACCAATGTCATGTTTCTCGTCGCCGTTGCTCGACGACGTAATGGCCGGGGTCACAAGTTTGGCTGCTGGGAGCTAGTCGAGGTGAGCCAAGCACACTTAGCAGCGTGAACCGACCTGCTGGCTCAAGTGTGACGTAGTGCCAGACCGTCACAAGAAATATCACCGGAAGTAAATAGTTGTGTGGCTTACCCATAAGCCGCTCATCCTGCGACAAGCATGTCACATCTTTCTAGAAACTGTATATCTATGTGCTCAGACTAGCTTCTGTTAAAACTCCAACAATCTACTCACTTTTCTATTCTCCCTTCTTCTGCTCAGTCGCCTCTTCTCCTTGGCCACCTCTATGCCCGCTTCAGGTTATGAGCCCAACGCAATACGTCGTCAAGGAGGTCATCAAGATCAACGCCGACGGGACGAACTACCCCGAACGGTCCGACCATGTCGAACAGAAGATCTGCCAGCAAAAGCTCCGCAAGTACTTGACGTCAAGCACACGATTCCAAAACTACGACGAAGCCGACGACTACGTAGCCAAGTCCTACATCAACTTGTCCATCCACCGCGACAACCTCAAGTACAGTACATCAAGGAAACCGACTTCGAGAAAGCAGACACGTACATCGTCCA